AATCGATTTCTCGTAGTCGATAACCTATCAATGGAAGCAAAGCAGATAATATCGCCTCACTTTCGAAAAAAATTTTTTCTTTGTTTCAAAAGTATGTGCACACTTAACAAAAGACAAAAACATAGCTGAGATTAGAAATCAGTGGGGCCTCCAGAGTTTCTAATTAGCTCAAACATCCTGTCCGGCATAATCTGAACCACGTTTGGCATAGCTGTTTCGTCGCTGTCGGCCCAAATAGCCTCTACCGCCGCCTTCAGTTCATCCGCGGTATTATACTGCCGGTTGCTAAAGTTAACGCCTTGATCAAGGGCTCCCTATAGGGTTGCAGTAAGGAGGACACACAAGCCAATCTATCGCTTCAGCACCATTTGGTTAAGGCCATTCTTTGGTAGATTGAAGCATCGAAAGACACGTGGTCCTGTTGCTAAAAATGCAATTTTCGCTCCGCTTCGCTAAGAAAGGGCAACAGGTGACATTGGAGCACTGCTTGGTATTCTTTACAGTTCATACGCAATAATGGAACGGCAACTTCTGAATTTCCGCTGCTTGCGAAACCGCCGCAGACCCATCAACGGGCTTTCTCCGAAATTCCTTCTCGAGAAGCACGAGCGACTCACGGCCAAGCCTCTCCAGTAGTAGCAAAATCCACCCGGCCCGTCAAGATCGAACTCTTTCCATGAGTTAAGATTACCTGAGGAGAGAAAGTCCATAAAAAGTTGCTTGTTTTGAAAATAGGAAATTCTCGAAAAACCGTGTCCTATCCCGTGTCCTATCCTATGTTGCCATGTTTTACGAGCAGACTCCAATCTTGCTAACCTGAGCCTTGAAGTGAGTAGCTTTTCTCAGCGTCTGTCGAGTGGTGTATTCATTTGAGCGGATGAGGGCTTAGTGGTCATTTTCGAGGCTGGAATAAAAATCTGAGCTCGGACTGTCAATGAAGAATTCGACAGGATGTGGGCTACTCTTTTGTTGTTCTGAGCAGTCAAGGATCGTGGATGGAGCGGAGTGTGTGCTGAGTATAATTATCAGGGTGCCAGATAAATCTTCGAATGCATTAAGGAGAACGACCAAGTTATCGTGCGATTTCTAGATTGGAACGTTCATTATCATGCAGAACCTTGATCTGAGCTTGCTCATCTTCAGGAAGAAGTATGGCGCGAATTGACATGATGACGAAATAAAAACAGCAAATCGGTGGAAATTTCGGCGCCAAAATTCAATGTCCTTCAAGTGTCCACATACTTTTGAAACAAAGAAAGGCAATCCAAATTTTTTTTTTACAAAAAGAGGCGATATTGTCTGCTTCAACTTCCACTGATAGGTTATCGACTACGAAATCTTAATTACCTTATCAGCGTAGATTTTGAAGCGACCGCATACTCTTGAAACGCACTGTATAGCTCACGGCTTAGAGAACATGTCCTAGCGCACTCCTAAACTATAACTAAGAGAGTTAAGTTGATTCCCGTGATAACTAAGGAGAGTTAAGTTATTCCCTTGTAATACCCCCATTTATCCCATGAATCCTTTTCCAGGAATGAGCCGTCAGGATTTTCGGCGATACGGCAAGGAAACAGTGGATTACATAGCAGATTATATGAAAACGATCCAGAAGAGGCGTGTGGTGCCAGCCATCGAACCAGGTTATCTCAAAGTGAGTTGCCACACCTCAGTTCACACTCGTGTTCAGAATCACCTTTTCAGAATTTGATACCGTCAGAAGCCCCGTCACGAGGTGAACCGTGGGAAAAGGTGATGGACGACTTTGAGAAACTGATCATGCCTGGCGTGACCCACTGGCAGCATCCTAGATTCCATGCCTATTTTCCAGCTGGTAACTCATATCCGTCAATCCTTGCCAACATGATCGGGGACGCACTGGGTTGTGTTGGATTCAGTTGGGTGCGTTTGTACTGAATGGCAGTTTGCTTGGAGTAAACTCTGTAGCTGAATCATGACATTTGCAGGCCTCTTGCCCTGCTATGACCGAACTGGAAATGATAATGCTACATTGGTTTGGCAAGATGATCGGCCTCCCAAAAGAGTTCCTGCCGCTCACAGAGGGAGGCAAAGGAGGCGGTGTGATCCAGGCAGGGCATTCAAAGATATCCGTTGAATATTTTTCGATAGGCTTCGGAATGTCAATTTGCAGGGCTCTGCTTCTGAATGTAATTTCGTGTCATTGTTAGCCGCTCGGTTCGAGGTCATGAAGGAACTCCGCCAACGATTTCCTTTTGTAGAGGAAGGCCTTTTGCTGTCCAAACTAATCGCTTACTGTTCTAAAGAGGTCAGTGAACGCAGGAGGTGTTTGATCTGTAATTATTGATGTTACCCGTATGGATTCAGGCTCATTCCTCAGTGGAGAAGGCCTGCATGATTGGTATGGTGAAGCTACGAATTCTAGAGACCGACTCCAAGTTCCGACTACGAGGCGATGTGCTTCGGAATGCCATACAAGTACGGTTGTTTTGTTGTTCTAGAGTTATCAGAATTTCACGGAGATCTTTTTCAACTCCAGGTTTTTCAGGTAGAACCAAAATCAGGG